TACACTTGGTACAAGCTAGCGGAAAAATAATCCCACGCTAAGGTTCAAAATATGCCTTTTGAAATACCCTGGGATGTCTTCTTTAAGAAATGGTATGGCTTTATGGGGTATTTGGATTATATAGCCTGGTAAAATACTCTAAAAATGGGACATGGGCACAGCGTAAAAATGTAAAGTTTGAAAAAAAAACTGGGATGGCTGTGTCCCAAATGTGCCCCTCCGATGTCCCCATATACCTACAGGGGTATTGCTGTACTCAGCCAACATAGCTGAGCAACATATGAAGTAATATACAGTGGTAGCACACATAAGGTTTGCAAAATATACTGTGCAAACTCACTTTGTGTGTCAAAAAGGCAGAAAAAAAAAAAAAAAAAAGGCTTATTACCACTACACCTGGTACAAGCTAGCGGAAAAATGATCCCACGCTAAGGTTCAAAATATACCTTTTGAAATACCCTGGGGTGTCTACTTTAAGAAATGGTAGGCCTTTGTGAAGTAGTTTGAATTTAAAACCTGCAACGATGCATGGAAATTGCACATAGGCCCAGCGTCAAAACTCAAAGTTCGATAAAAACTGATATGGCTTGGTCTCCTATATGGCACTGTAGCTTCACGAAATAATGCCAAAGACATTCATTGGGGGTGTCTTTTTACTCAGAAGACTTAGCTGAGCATAATTTGGGGAGTTTTAACTTAGTGGCACATATGAAATATACAAAATGCCCAGCAAAAATGCAATCCGTATGTAAAAAATGCACAAAATGATTTTTTACCACATACTTTAGCATACATTGGTGAAAAAATGGGGGCATGTTAAGGCACAATATGCACCTTATGGGATACCCTTGAGTGTCTACTTTGACAAATGGTAGGCCTTTGTGGGGGTTTTTTTTTGAACAGTCAAACTGTTATAATAACCCAAATGGAAGCATAGGCTCATTAAATCCATCTCTCAAAATTCTACTGTGAATACTGAAAAGGACAGGTATCCTAGATGGCTCTGTAACTTCACAAAATAGTGCCAAAGACATACAATGGGGGTGTCATTTTACTCAGCAGATGTAACTGAACACAGAATAAAACTTTGTACAGAAATAGCACACACCAACTTTACAAAATACACTTGAGAATTTCTTTGTTATAAGTTTGTGTGCCAAAAACCAAAACAAACCACAATTTTACTCCAATATTTAGCAAAGGCTGGCGGTGAAATGGCTACGTAGAAAGTGTAAAAAAAAAAACCCTAGGTAAATAGCCTGTGATGTCTACTTTATATAAACATATACTTTTGTGTGGCAATTTTGTTTTCTTTTATGGCTATTAAGCTTACATGACAAACATACCAAATTCTAAAATCGCTCCACATTAAAAGTTCATTTTACTCCTTGTGCTTTGTGACCTGTAACTACCAAAAAAAAAAACCCCTTAAAATCCCAGACACATTATATATTCTGTAAATCAGAACTACTAAATTAATTTTTAATTACTTTCCTTAACCTGCACTAATTATGCACATTATGCAAATTAAAGCCCTTTCTGTCCTTTAAAAAACAATATATAATATGTGTTGGTGCAATAAATTAGTAAAATGCAAGTTGCAGTTGAGCGCAAACATGAAAAAAATGCTGTTGTCATTAAGTGAAAGACAAGCTTTGTCCTTAAGGAGTTAACGATAGGACTTTAAATGCACTGCATAGTTTTTTGTTTGTTTTAAATCCCTTTAAAACCGTCTGAGAGCAATAGATACAATGCTTTTCATTATCTCCTGCTGCATTGCACACTTGGTGAACAAATCCCTGCACGTGCAGCAAACCACCCTGCTAGTTCGCGGTCAGTAACGTGAAGAGCAATCACACTAGTATCGCCTGAACTCCCTCTCTCATGTTTCTTTTTTTTGTTTCCGACCGAAATAATAAATCTGATTTCCCCTTTCATACTATGGGACACAATAGAACATGTCCAAGAACCCCGGAATTAATTTCAAAACATTCAGACGTTTCACTCATCACCCCCGGATACGTAATGCTACTTCACTACACACGCGGCGCCATTTTAACAGCTCTGGCCATCGCCGATCTGCACATGCGCACGGCCTGGCTGCTGATTGGCGGTTTGCGCGTCAATCATGTGTGGCTTTACCTGTTTCCAGCCCTGCCCCCTGTCTGTATCACATCCCCTGTCATAGCTCTCGGGGGTGCAATACAGTGTGTGGTTACTAGTTACTGTTACCAGGAGCATTGAGAGGATCCGTCAGCTTGTTAATGTGGAATACAGGGCACCATCCTTAGTACAGGGTCATGGTAAGTTCGGCTGTGCTCCCTGGCCGGGCCTTTACAGCCTGACACCCCAAAACAGATTCCCATAGATTTATTAAATGGAACCGTTTGTCTGACTTCCACTCTGTAATTTCTTTCCCTGTGAGTTCTCGGTGTAAGATTCAAATATCCGTTAGACAATTCCTTGGGGATAAAATACGTTGTGTATGTATTTCAACTAGTCCCACCCCCTGTCTCCATAGAAACCAGTTGCCTAAATTATATACACAGATCTCCAGGCTTGCTATGGTTTCCTTTTCTTTTCTTTTTTTCCTCTCTCTCTCTTCTATATAGTGAAAAGGTTCTTAGTTTTCTGTTTTAGAGTTTTAGCTGAAGTGCTTTATGTCTGCAGTGTTCCAGTAAACTCTGAATTGGACAGGATTAAAATCCAAATTGCAAAATTGGGGAGGAAAAAAACAACAACTTTGATTTGCAAAGATGTTCCAACTGGACTTTTTGAGCCTCATTTTACATTTCTGACTTGAATGTGGTACAGGTCAAATTTTAGTGAATGACTGTGAGTCTTGACATTTTCACAGCACTGTAGAATGTGTATATGAAACAAAAATATATATATTAAAAAAAAAGGCATCAGTTTAATATTGTATATTTAGATAAACGTTTAAAATGTTTTCGTTCAACATGTTAATCAAAAATGTCACACTATCACTCACATATACAATGAATATAAATATTACAATATTTTTCATAATATTAAATCATTTTAAACGTTTATCCTTATCCATATCCTTCCCAATGCTTATCCAAAAGTATTAATTTAAGGTCTAAGACCTGAGAGGGGACAAGTTATCAGTTCCAAACTCCTCCCCTCTGCCTGAGAAATAATTGAGTCAGGAAGAGAAATAACTCAATTATCTCCAGGCACAGAAAAACATACAATATTACAAAACCCCCAAAATACCTTTTTAAAACACATTTAAAAAACCAAAAATTACATCCCCTAATAGTCCCGATCCGGGTGACCAACATATCCAAAAAATCACCCAGATCGGTTCAGGGAATTGGAATTTTCACGGAAGTCATAATTTTGACCAACAATGCTCATGGTCCTATGCCCAAAACAGTTCCATGAAATCATTGCTAATGGTCGGTCAATTTCGGTAGTCTTTTACAGGTTTCTAAGTCAAAAGTACAGGGCTTTTTTTTCCAGGATCCTCTGTGCTTGAGAGATAATTGCGTGAGAAAAAGTTACATTTTAATAACTTCAGAACCCCATGAAAGTCATATCACCGAATAGCTTGGATCTGAGCGCACACTTTGCCAAAATATCACTCAGATCCCTTTTGTTGTTTCGGGAACGCCATTCAAATGTAGTTTTGACTGGTCGGCCACGAGGTGATGCCCCAAAACAGTTCCAGAGAAAACAAGGCAACGACCGGTCATCTATCGGGGATTCTCACATAAACACTGATGAATCCATTCCCCGGCTGTTAGGGTACGAATCCTCCCCCTGTTCCGTAATTTATGCCTCCCGAATGCCGTTCTCCTAACTGTTCGGAAAGGTAAATAGACAGCGGTGCCAGTTTCCTGCGGGATTGCGTATCCGAGAACAGTTCTACTCTGTCGACGACCATTATTATTATTATTATTATTATTATATTATTTATATAGCGCCAGAAAATTCTGTAGCGCTGCACAATGGGACCATGTACTGCTGCCCACGTTCGGGAGACAAAATGGCCGTCCATTATTTGAACATGTGCATTGTGTTATACGAACGGCGGCCACACAGGGAAAGCACTTGAACTAATAACCAATTTGTAGTTAACAGCCAGCGGTGGTCGGTAATTAAAAGGTGCGAACAAGGGGTCACACACTGAGGGGGTCAGTAAACGAACTGGGGCATTTGGACAGCCGAACAAAAAGCAATAAAAGTATATTTGAGTTCCCCATTCCACTACAAGGTGGGGTGGAGTCGGGTCAGAGCAAAACCAAAAAATCAGCATCTCCTCATTTAATCAATGCATCTCTAGGGGGAAAGATCTACGTCTCCATGCAGAGCTTGCACACTGTGCAGTCCTAACCCAGATAGCACCTCTAGTGGCCTTCTTAGGAGTGGCCACTGGAGGTGTTCCTAGGTTGCAATGAAGGCAGTGTTTACAGCAAAAGCCTGCAGGGACAAGCTATAGACCAGGGGTAGGCAACCTTCGGCACTCCAGGTGTTGAGGACTACATCTCCCTTGATAGTTTGCCTGCATTATGGCTGTATGAGCCTTATAGGAGATGTAGTCCATAACATCTGGAGTGCCGAAGGTTGACCAACCCTGCTACAGACACTAGAACAACTACATTAAGCTGTAGTTTTTTTCTGGTGACTATAGTGTCCCTTTAAATTATAGTGAATTGAAAACCAAATTGCAAAAAGTGCTGATTTGGAATAAAACTTGGCTGCAATCATAGCTTAGCTATTTCAGTCTACATCTTTCAATTAGGTTTTAAGTTCAGTGCAATTTGTTATTTACTAAATACATCCCAACTAATGGGCTATAATGTTATCTGCAACCAGTAGATACTTGAAAACTAGCAAAAACGAATATGTATTTTTTATTATTATTATTATATTATAATGATTGTGGATATCTAATCTAAATGTATTCACTTTTTTTTTTTGCTTAGAAACACTAAACCTATCAAGAAGGAAGCCTTTCATCGTTGGTCATCATGTCTGGTTTATCTCTGGAGGATGAAGCTTTGCTTCAGTCTATGGTCAGACAGTTGCTACAGAGTGTAAAGGAAAGACTAGCAGGTGCTCCATCAGCTGAATGTGCTGAAGAGATATTGCTGCATCTGGAAGAGACAGATGAACATTTCCACAAGTAAATACATTTTTATATGGTAGTTCTGTGATTTATCCCACTGGACTAATTACTGTTGGCCTTGATATTTTGTTGGTTTTCTTTAAAGAATACGTTGGGAACATTGCTAATTAGAGTTCCATTATACATACTCTCACTTTTGAAAACCATCTAAGTCTCTGAGACCTCTCGCTGATTTCAGTAGGAGTAATGTAGTATTTTACAAACCTCTTTTTCCTATTGCGTTCTCAGCAGTACTCATATATGGGTGCCAAATAAATGTAAATGCTTCATCCCACCCTGCTGGTGTCCTTCCTACATTAGATAAGAGCCCCCAAAACCACCAATAGTTGTCCCTTATAGGAATAGGATGGATCATTTTTTTTTTCCATTATGAGGCTGATGGGTCAGCACAAATTGTTGTTAGGGCTCCTCTGCAGCTGTTTCTGGATGGTGATTGTGGATTTCTCAGGGATAGATGGACCAGAAATGGGTCCAGCTCCCCATACGGTCTCTATCTTTTTTTTCTCCTGTCCGTCATGCCAAGGGCCTCTGTATACTACTATAGAGTGAATGGTTAGTTTGGCCTATGCTCTCTCTAAATGCTGATTTTATTTTACAGATGTCTAATCTAGCATAGTTTTCTTAGTAGAAGCATTTCAATTACTCTCCTGCAACTGTCATTAAAACAAAACACTAAGCCCCATGTGAAAATTGTCCTAGCAACCTACTTTTCTACCCTTCCCTTACTTTTGGTGTCACTACAGTTGCAAGAAAAAGTATGTGAACCCCTTTGGAATGATATGGATTTCTGCACAAATTGGTCATAAAATGTGATCTGATCATCATCTACGTCACAACAATAGACAATCACAGTCTGCTTAAACTAATAACACACAAAGAATTAAATGTTGCCATGTTTTTATTGAACACACCCTGTAAACATTCACAGTGCAGGTGGAAAAAGTTTGTGAACCCCTAGACTAATGACATCTCCAAGAGCTAATTGGAGTGAGATGTCAGCCAACTGGAGTCCAATCAATGAGATGAGAGTGGAGGTGTTGGTTACAGCTGCCCTGCCCTATAAAAAACACACACCAGTTCTGTGTTTGCTTTTCACAAGAAGCATTGCCTGATGTGAATGATGCCTCGCACAAAAGAGCTCTCAGAAGACCTACGATTAAGAATTGTTGACTTGCATAAAGCTGGAAAGGGTTATAAAAGTATCTCCAAAAGCCTTACTGTTCATCAGTCCACGGTAAGACAAATTGTCTATAAATGGAGAAAGTTCAGCACTGCTGCTACTCTCCCTAGGAGTGGCCGTCCTGTAAAGATGACTGCAAGAGCACAGCGCAGACTGCTCAATGAGGTGAAGAAGAATCCTAGAGTGTCAGCTAAAGACTTACAAAAGTCACTGGCAAATGCTAACATCCCTGTTAGCGAATCTACAATACGTAAAACACTAAACAAGAATGGATTTCATGGGAGGATACCACAGAGGAAGCCACTGCTGTCCAAACAAAACATTGCTGCACGTTTACAGTTTGCACAAGAGCACCTGGATGTTCCACAGCAGTACTGGCAAAATATTCTGTGGACAGATGAAACCAAAGTTGAGTTGTTTGGAAGAAACACACAACACTATGTGTGGCGAAAAAAAGGCACAGCACACCAACATCAAAACCTCATCCCAACTGTGAAGTATTGTGGTGGGGGCATCATGGTTTGGGGCTTCTTTGCTGCGTCAGGGCCAGGACGGATTGCTATCATCGAAGGAAAAATGAATTCCCAAGTTTATCAAGACATTTTGCAGGAGAACTTAAGGCCATCTATCTACCAGCTGAAGCTCAACAGAAGATGGGTGTTGCAACAGGACAATGACCCAAAGCATAGAAGTAAATCAAGAACAGAATGGCTTAAACAGAAGAAAATACGCCTTCTGAAGTGGCCCAGTCAGAGTCCTGACCTCAACCCGATTGAGATGCTGTGGCATGACCTCAAGAAAGCGATTCACACCAGACATCCCAAGAATATTGCTGAACTGAAACAGTTCTGTAAAGAGGAATGGTCAAGAATTACTCCTGACCGTTGTGCACGTCTGATCTGCAACTACAGGAAATGTTTGGTTGAAGTTATTGCTGCCAAAGGAGGTTCAACCAGTTATTAAATCAAAGGGTTCACATACTTTTTCCACCTGCACTGTGAATGTTTACATGGTGTGTTCAATAAAAACATGGCAACATTTCATTCTTTGTGTGTTATTAGTTTAAGAAGACTGTGATTGTCTATTGTTGTGACTTAGATGATGATCAGATCACATTTTATGACCAATTTGTGCAGAAATCCATATCATTCCAAATGGTTCACATACTTTTTCTTGCAACTGTATTCCCCATACCCTCTAGCATGTAAGCTCATTGAGCAGGTCTCTCAACCCCACTGTTCCTGTGTGTCCAACTTGTCTGGGTACAAATACGTGTCTGTTAGTCCTGAGTAATGACTGGGTGGAATCTTTTTTTCGATTTACAAGATGCTTGTGTATAGTTTGTATGTTCTTGAGTATACTTGTACATATGCACTACTTGTGTTTATGTGTGTCTGTGTATGCTGAATATAGGCCTTCATGAATTTCCTGTAATTCTTGGATGGGAATTCATGCTCTCTTTATATTAACACTCCCCTCTTCTAGCACCATTTTCTGCACTGTTCACTTTTCTATCTCTCCCCCCTTACTCTGTGATCTTTGCTTAAGATATTTACGACCCTCTCTGCAAGAATGGTGTCTATGTTCTATCAAAGCTGTCTTATCTGCACTCATGTCGCTTTAACTTTTATATCACAACTCAACTTTGAATTCTATGTGTCGTCTTGCTCAGAAATACTTAAGACTTGCGAAAGGGAGGTTTTCCCGAAAGCTTGTCATTAAAAATTCTGTTAGTCCATTAAAAAAGGTATTACAAGATACTAATTGTATCTGGTTGTGATATATATATATATATATATATATATATATATATATATATATATATATATATATATATATATATATATATATATATTAAAAGTCACCTTAGGACAGGGGAGGGGGGTATATAATCATATTTTTTGCTCCATAAGACACACCTAGTTTTTAGAGGAGAAAACCCAGAAAAAAAATATTCTGAACAAACTGTCCCATAGTGTTTCTTGACACCCCCCCTCCCCTGTCCCATAGTGTTCCTTAGCACCCACTCCCCTCTCCTGTCCCATAGGGATTTTTAACCCCCCTCCCCTGTCCTAAAGTGACTTAACCCCCCCTTCCCTGTCCCATAGTGTTCTTTAACCCTCCCTGTCACATAGTGTTCTTTAACCCCACTCCCCTTGTCCAATAGTGTTCTTTATCCCCCTCCCCTTGTCCAATATTGTTCTTTAACCCCCTCCTCCCCTTGTCCAATAGTGTTCTCCCCCCTCCTCTTGTCCAATAGTGTTCTCATCCCATAGTATTCCACCCTCCCCTCATCCCACAGTGTTCCCCCTCCCCTCATCCCATAGTGTTCCCCCCTCCCCTCATCCCATAGTGTCCCCCCTCCCCTCATCCCATAGTGTTCCCCCTTCCCTTGTCCAATAGTGTTCTCCCCTTCCCCTTGTCCAATAGTGTTCCCCCCTCCTCCCCTCATCCCATAGTGTTTTCCCCCCTGTCCCATGAGTGTTCTCCTCCCAGATCCCATAGTGTTCTCCCACCGTCCAGGTGTTCTAAGCCCCCCTCCTGTCCATAGTGTTTCTCCCCTGTCCCATAAATGTTTCTCCCAGTCCCATGGTTTCTCCCCTCTCCCTGTCCCTCTAGTGTTCTCCCCTCCTGTCCATAGTGTTTCTCCCCAGATCCCATAGTGTTCTCCCCCTCCCCTGTGCCATAGTGTTCGTCCCTCCCCCCTGTCCCTGTCTTGACTTTTCATGTTATCATTACTATCTTTCATTGTGATATATAATCATCTGAATTGTTAATGCAAGCATGTCTGTTAAACTATGCAATACTTTTTTTTTTTTAATTTCGGTAAATTTGACCCTTTTTTGACCGAAACGGGATAGGCCCATTTGCGGCCAAAAATTTCGGTGCATTCCTAGCAGCAACTGCTCAGAATTGTAACTCCCACTATTCTCAGTGCAGTCCCACTGTTGCACAGCATCAGTTACATTGTGCATCACAGTTTTCAATGTCTTTAAATCTTGTACCGAGGAAAGGTTGTAATAATTCAGGCTCAAGTTCCATCCCTGACCATATTATATCCACGATGGTCGAAGACCAAAGCTATTTTGTAAAGCCATAACAGTATACAAACTATTTAGATGAGTAAGTAAATAATAACAAAAGCCCTAACGGTATATATATATATATAGAGAGAGAGAAAATTAAATAATGTTTAAATTACCTAAAAACAAAAGGAACGTATGCCCTTTCAACTGGTTCATGCAAAGAGCTCTTACTCTGAGATGTGAAAGATTGCATCAACTGCCAAATGGTTTATCCACTAATTTAGGAGAAATTAGAAAATTTGAGTGAAAGTCGTATTTATAGTTGAGCTGCAGATTTTTTTCCATTTTCATCAATTTGGTTTACAATACAGCTTTTTTTTTTTATAGTTCTGTCGTATGAATCAAAGCTCCAGTTGAACAGTAAAAGGAAATTGAAAACTAGAAAACAGATTGCTATCATGTATCAGAAATGAGTCAGTTGGTAGAGCCGTTTCTGACTTATATCATGCTTACGGGAACTTTTGGAAATTGTATTAATTTGCTTGTTAGTCATGAGTCATTAAACATCCTTTAACATATGCGGCATGTATGTCATGGTCTGGTAAATTACATATTATAGGTTCAGCTGAAAGGTCCTTGGGTTTACACGTCCGATACCTATAACGTGTGCTCCAATAAATAGCTTTGAGAATCTTTTTGTTTGTGTGAATGTGTAATCATTCCCACATTGCAGCAAAGGAAGTATTTCTTCTAATTTGTATTTATCGACACAGATCCAAAGATGTCATTTT